GGTATCTATCAGAAAAAGGTTTCTACACAGTAGATGAATTTATACTTGAAGTTGTTAATGTCAGATCACTGTCATTGTGACGTATATATCGTAACATTTTGTTTATTTATCTATTTCTATTTTTTACTTATATTTTAATATGTATATGTTTGTTTTACAATGTGTGTCACATTATTTTTTATTCAAATGACATCTTTTAATATTACACATTTATATTATACCTGAGAAATATGACCTGTCCCATCTACATAATGTAGCACAAATGACTAATAAATCTATCTATCATTCCATGTAAAACGAGCCATCCTGAATAACTTTTGGTACAATGATTTTCAGGAAAAATAAAAAAAACACGTCATCCATAGTATACAGGGGGACACATCTCGACATTCCCTTATCGCACCCCTAGAGCATGTCACCATTTTTTGAAATGGATCACCCTATATTATTTCACATTATCAGATGCTTTATGATCAGCAGACTTCAACAAAGTATAAAACATATGGTCTGCAGCTTATGGTTCGAGAACTATAAATTATTTGCGTTGAAAACGAGCCACCCTGAAAAACTTTTGGAACAATGATTTGCAGGAAAAATAAAACAGGTCAACAATTATACAGGAGACAACATTTTGAGGTATTTGTTCTAGAGACAAATATGGAAGCAATAATTAAAAAAAAAGATTTTTTATTAATTCTTGAATCAAAATATGATGACTTGACAATAAGAAGAAAACTTTTTTCTATAGTAAATATTTAAAAACGTTTTCAACAACTTCCATACAACGGTACAAACGAGCTTTCATTGCCGCCCTTACATGGTTGAGAATCTTGGAAGTTATTTCTCTACAATGCATCATGATACTCTCTCTCGAATCTTCCAATGTTGATTCTATCTCATATACTTTGGACTTCAAATGACCCCATGGAAAGAAATCCGCAGGAGTGAGATCCGGGGACCTTGGTGGCCATTCTGTAGGACTTCTTCTGCCAATCCAGCGACCAGGAAAATGAACATCCAAACATTGTTGCACTAGAGCTGCATAATGAGGAGGTGCACCATCCTGCTGAGAAACTACTTCGTTTTCGAATAAAGTTTATCCACCTCAATTGCCCTATGCACGGTATTATTGATTTCTCCAACATATCCAAATATTTATCGCTAGTCAAATCATCATCCATTAAAAAGGTCCTATGATGTGGTCACCTGAAATTCCTGCCCAAGCATTCAGTTTTTGAGGTCGTTGGGTACGAACTTGATGCTATGAAATCAACAATTTTTACGATAAACCTCTCCATTGAAACTAAACGTACATTCATCCGAGAAACAAATTTCATACAAGAAATTCTGATACAAGTTGATCCGTTCAGTGAGACTTTCATAATAATAGAGGAGCCCAAACGGGGATTTCGGGATTTACTAAAGCGCGGCAGATTGATATACAGAAGGATACATTGTACCCGGTTAAGTACCTCCACCAAATATGAGCCCTATATATAAGGCCGCCTGTGAGGGATAAAGGATCAGATTAGTAAAAAAAATTGATCATCAGAAATT